TAACAATAAGTATGCTACTAATCTTGCTTAGTTCTTTTGCACTCAATCTGCTAGTTCTTTTTTGTTTGTTTGTTTGTTTGTTTGTTTGTTTTCAATCTGCTAGTTCTTGAGAAGTAGTCCAGCAAGTAAGTGAAGCAGGATCGGTAGCTCAGAGTATCACATTTTGCTACCCCTAATAAAATAATGGTCATCACACAAAAAGAGAAAAAACAGATAGTATGTGCCTCTGCATGTAAGAATACACCACGACCTACACAGTAGGCTTACCAAAAAAAAAAAAAAAAAAACAACAAACCCTGGGCCTCCCCAGTGGCGCAGCGGTTGAGCGCTGGGTTCCGAAGCTGCCTGCAGCCTCTGCAGTGCAGGTTCGATCCCTGGCTGCTCCCTGGCCACCGGAGGAGGGTCCCACATGGTGCGCAGACCTCTCCTGCTGCCCGCTGCTCCCCTCAGCAGTGTACTTCAGTCCTTCTGCCTGCTCTGCTCCCTGCTCTGGCTCTGGTGAATTCTCTCACCCTCCCGCGCTTCTGACTATACCCAGTGCTTGTATAAATAAATAAAAAATAAATCTTTAAAAACAAAAAAACAAACCCTGAATCAAACCAGTGTCAGGATCTCCCTTTCAATCTTCAGAACAATACAGGAGAAAAAAGTTTGTTTTTTTTTTAAGATTTATTTTAGGGCCTCCCCGCACCTCTGACCTGTACCCCAGTGCTTGTGAAAATAAATAAATCTTTTTGAAAAATAAAGCTTTATTTTATTTGTACAAGAGCTGGGGTATAGGCCAGAGGCATGGGAAGGGGAGAGGATTCACCAGAGACCGAGCAGGGAGCAGAACAGTCAGATGGACCAAAAGCACTATGGAGGGGTGCAGCAGGGGAGAGATGAGAGGTCTGCCTTGCCATGTGGGATTCTCCCTGGCCTGTCAGGAATCGAACCCACGCTGCAAAGGCTGTGGACAGCTTCACAGTGCTGCGCTCAACTCGCTGCCACTGGGGAGGCCCCAGAAAAAAGATGTTTTAAAAAAATGGAGGAAGGATCCTATGTGTGATAGGGAACTTAAACAACATTTATGTAACATTATGAACCAAATTCAAAGTTTGAATTTTGATTTGAAAAAACCAGCTGAAAAAAAAATTGGAGAATCTAAATATTTGTTCAGATATTGGAGTATTTTTTTATGTGTGATAATATCACGGTTATGTTTTTCTTAGAGTCCTTATCTTTTGGGAATACATACTAAAATATTTATGAATGAAATTATATAATCTGTGATTTGCTTTACAATGATTGAGGGAAGAGACAGGACACGGGTAAAACTATGACTGACCATGTGATGATAGTGTTAACTGCATGGCAAGTACATTATGGGATGTTTAAAAGATTTTATAATAGAAAACTTTTAAAATGGAAAAAAAGTTAAGATGCTAGAACATTTAAAATTCATCTCCCTTATGTCTAGCTGATATGACTATAAATTGATGTGACTTTTATGGAAGGCAATATAATTTCTACTAAAATAAAAATGCACATATCCTTTGACTCATAAAATCACTTTGAGAAATGCACTCTCTCTACTCACCATGTGTAATAAATTCATAGACATGTAGACAGACAGACACACATACACAATATATGTGGGTTCTCACTGCAGTACTTTTTGTAAAAGCAAAAAATCAGTAATAAACTAAATGTCCTCAATAGGGTACTAGCTAAGTAAGTCATGGTAAACCCACTGAATGGAAATTACAAAGATGTATTTTAAAATAAGCAACCTTTTATATGCTCTTTATATACTGATCTGAAACAATCTCCAAAATGCTCAGCTGTGTGTACAGTATGTTATTTAAAAGAATGTAATAATCATGTATGCTTATATGTGCATATAAAATGCCTTCAGAGTATATAAGTAAGATATCTGCCATCATTTAGCCCTCCAGAAAGGAACTGGGTTTACAGGAGAGAGGGATAGGACCAAGACTTAAATATCAATGCTAGCATTTTTACTTCTTAAATATTAGCGCATGTGTACGTATCACCTATATTTTTAAAATGGACCTATGTCTACTTAAAAGAAATAAAAACAAAATTAAGACACTCAAGAATATAATTCTAAAGACATGGGAAAGCTTATAATATTATGTTTGGTTTAAAGGTATATACAAATTTTATCTACATAATTAAAAATACGTAAAATATGTCTGTTGAAGATCTAGTACCGGAAACATACAAATGAAAAGGATGTGTTATTAGGTGGGAGTGCAAGTATTGTTTTTAAATTTTATAGGTATTATAGTATGGGAACATGTATGGTAAATTACCGTTTGGTTAAAAAAAAAATCAAATTTAGATTTCAAAAATCTGACCTCCTTGTGGGTTTTCACAGAGGCTTTTCCCGCGATGCAAGATGCATCTGGTCACATTGCCTGAAGTGGTTCTATCTGGTTTCCTGCCACTCTCACCGGAGGAACAAGATGCTCAGCCAGTTAGTGCAGTTGGTCATGTCCTTACGCTCAGAACTTGTTTGCTGGACTCTGAGTGATCTGCTTATTTATGGGGGAAAGATTCTGTACAAACAAGAAAAGACTTTCTGGAGGTGGGAAAACCAGGGTATAAAATATCCTCCTTCATACATTCAGCTTCTTTCCTGAAGGAACGGCCCCAGTGGGACACAAGGTGGGCTCCATCAGGCAGGAAGGGGCGCCAGGAACCTGCAGCCATGGCCTGACCCCATTCTACAGGCTGAACTCTGGCCTTCTGCTCACTAAACTTCCCAGCTCTGCTGACCCACAGTCTACCTGTAGTCAGAGGCTTGTCTCAGGATGCCTGCCCAGTCTCTTCAGAGGCAGCTCTGGAAGAGTGAAAAGAGCCCAGACCAGGAATCCGGGATTGCCTCTGCTACTCTCTAACCACCTGACTGCATACAAATCACTTAGCTTCCTTGGGTGTCAGTTTTCTCATTCATAAAATACCCCCACCCATCTTGCCATGCTGCCAGAGGAGTGAATGAGAGTGTCATGTCTTATTCTGGGCCTCTTACTACTTCACTGCCTACTGCTTCTCAGTTTTCATGGCCTGCTGCTCCCTGGCCTGTGCCTCACATTGATCAGTGCTCTGCCCTTCTCTTCTCACTTCTTTGGGCTCCAGGACCTAAACTGTCACTTATTGCACCCACGTTTCAGATTCACATATCCAACTGGCTCTTCCACTTGTCTCACATCTCCCCCAAATATCTCAACTTTGATTTATCTAAAACTGATCTCATCATCTTCCTTTTCAGACTTAGTCTTCATACTGCATTCTCCATCCTAGTAATACCTCTAGCATCTACGTAGTAGCTCAGGCCAGAAACCAGGGATTTGCCTTCATTTCCACTCCAACATTTCCCAATAACAGCAGCAGCCATCTTCATGTGGTATGGGGAGCAGAAAGCTGGACTTAAACAAGAGAGAATGAAGCAAATCCACCAAGATGCAAGGCAGAGAACAAGGCAGAAAAGTCTCTCTGTGCTCCTAAATGGCTACACATTGTTTCTATTCTTGAGCCAAGCTGCAGCCCCACCCTTGAATTTTATGAGAACCTAGCACTTTTTACAACAACCCTTCCATTTTCTTGTTGTTTCTGCTTAAGTTAGTCTGAGTTGGGTTTCTACACTTGCAAACACAAGACTCCTTATTAATGTAAGCATATTTTATTGTCGGAGCAGGCTGGGTTATGTTGTGGTAATGAACAACCACCACATTTTGGTATCTTAATTTCACCACATGTCCAGTAGCTGCCAGGAACTCTGCTCATAGTAGTCCTTCAGGAAGCATCCACTACCTTTAAAATTGGTGGTCACTATTCTGGGGGAAAGAGAGACCCTGAGGGGTCTAACACCAGCAACTCAAATGCTCAGGCTCAGAAGTGATGTGTTACCTCCATTCATAACTCATCGACCAGAACAAGTTACCTGGCCCTCCCAACCCCAACCATAGGGGACTCCAAAGTATGACCCTGACATGGGCTCAGAAGAGAGAGAATGAGAAATATTTGGTGAACATTGATAACTATCATGTATTTCCTGCTGCCAGTTCTGTGCCAAAGCCTGAGTCTAATGTAGCTGAGGTTCAGAAAGGTCAGGTAACTCAGTCACTACATTATGCAAAAATGATTCTGTGGTCTAGAATGATGGAATAGGTGGCTTAAGGAGAGAATGGACTTAAGAGGGTGAACTCCGTACCTGATACTAAAAGTAAGTGCTGAGTCAATGTTTTCACCCTCTTGAGTCTGTGGAGGCATTCAAGAACAGTCTATAGGGTCACTTCTTAGGGTAGATTGAGAAAGTAGCCAAGTACCAGTTAGGTAGTACCATCTTCCTACCCTGAGAGTCTAGCTTCTTTTCTCCTGGAATAATTACTTTCCTTTTTTGGCAATAACACTGCAAGGTAAATATCAACTACTCTTCATCCCTAGCAATAGTACTGTTGGCTCCATGGGTGGGAACTAAAACTAGAAAAGATATGGTAAATTATGAGTGGACAAACCACCGATCAACTAATATTGACCGAATGTTCATGACATGTAAAGTATATTGTCCTGAGCTCTAAGTCAGTGTGCGCAGAAGGAAAAGCACGTGAGAAAGGGGCTTATATCTGCGAGCTAGTCCTGGCTTTGTCATTCATGTGTGGCTTTGAGCAAGTTTGCTCTAGACTTTGTTTTCTCTCTATACAGTGGGGGGTGGGAGGGGAATATATCTATAAAGCCCTCTCAGCTTGAATAAGTGAAAAAAAATTACACATAGAATAAAAACTCAGACCTCAGATTTGTGAGGAATCATTTTTCTTCCTAGAAGCCTGTGAGCCAAAGAACACTAAAACCTCAAAAAGGACTTTAGATACAATATTGTCTAAAGCTATACTTCTAATATGGTAGCTACTGGCCACATGCTGCTACTGAACGTTTGAAATTCAGTCCAAAATTAGGTGGGCTATAAATATAAAATACGCATTGACTATTTGAATTTAGTGTAGGAAAAAAAAGAATGTAAAATATTTTCATTTAATGATTTGCGCCTCTTGTGTTAAATAAAATGTTATTAAAATTAATGTTAGCTTTCCCTTATGTTTTTTAATATGACTACTAGAAATGTAAAAGTACAATGTTGTCCACATTATGTTTCTATTGGACAGTGCTGGTGAACGGGAAACTGAAGCCCAAGGAGGGTAAGGTACTTGTCCACAGTTGGCACTGGAACCAAGGTCACAGACTTTTCATTCAAGGCTCTTTCCAAACCCTAACTGCCTCTTGTAGCCAGCCTCCAAGATAGCTCCTAAGATCCTCACCTCTATTACCTTTGTATAGTCCCTTCTACACTGAGTAAGGCGTACCTACTAGGAGACTGCAGAAATAACGGTGTGATTTTCAAGTCTGGGTGATAAAAGACATGTGGTATCTACCTTCTCTATCATCACTTATTCTGGGGGAAGCCAGCTGCTGGGTCATGAGAACATTCAAGCAGCCATGTGGAGTGACCCACTCAGTGGGGCCTCCTGTCAGCCACCAGTACCAGTCAGTCATGTGAGTGAGCCATCTTGAAGCTGATCTTCCATACCCAGTCAAGCCTTCAGATGCCAGCTGCCCCAGTCAACATCTTGACTATACCTCAGGAGAGACCTTGACCCAGAACCACCCCGCTAAGTCTCTTAAATTCCTGACCTACAGAATATAAATAATAAATGCTTGGTTTAAAGTCATTGAGTTTTAGAGTGATACTATACAGCAATAGATAACTAGTACACAGCCTTATAAACTTAGATTTCATACAAAAAAAAAATTCTATCTCTAGCATTTGTACAGCATAAGAAATAATTATTCTCTCTTTCTGGGTCTTGGGCCTATCTCAGGTTACCTAAGTAAAAACAGCTATTACCCTTGGGTAATCCAACCCAGGAAGACAGGATCCCATTTTATTGTTTATGAAGTCTTTCTTTTTATTGTAGAAAGCACCCAGGTCTCTTGAGAATTTAAAAGCACCACATCACGTCACCTTTACCTGGACTCCCAGACTCCTATGAAATCAAAGGAACTGGAGCCCTGAATTGTCCTATTAAACACATTATTGAGGAAGTAATAAATAATTGAGAAATAACATCTGGATTTCTATTAACTGTTGAAATGTGGTCAATAGCAGCACTAATGCAGTCTATTTAGCAGGTGCTGCTGCTTTTCATAATGTTTTCAGATCTATATCTAAAAGATATAAATAAAGCAGGATGTATATGTTAACAATGGTTCAGAGTTCAAGATTTGCCCATCGTCGGTGGTGAGTAAATGACAAGGCCAGATCTAAAGTCTGAGTTATAGTGACACCAAATCAAACTTGGTGCTTCCAAGTTAGGACCTTCCTGCTGTGATAATATGAACGCCCTTCAGTTGAGGCTGTCCTCTGAGAACAAGGTGCACTTGTAGGTCTCCTTAAAGGCCTCGAGGAAAGGTGGTAGTACTTCATCCACAGTGGTGTGCCTCAGGAGCTCTTTACTCAGGGAAGTGACGCCAGTTCCAACCAGCCCGCAGGGCACAATGTGCTCAAACCATGTGAGGTCCGTCGAACAGTTCAGAGCCAGGCCATGGGATGTAATGTGTCTTCCACAGCGGACTCCTGTAAGGCAAGCCAAAGGGCCTTAGATTAGATACCCTCCCTCCCCAGGTTTCATGAGTCTCCTCAGTGAGGAGAACTGAACTAGATCCTACTTTGTTTCTGGAGCATCCTAGGAGTTCTGCACAGACCAAGGAAGGAAGACAAGTTAAGGGAAGGTATGTGTGGCTCCACATTAACTGCAGTTACATGGAGATTCCCAAAATGGTCGTGTAACTCAACAATTCTGTTGCTTTCAAAGAAAAGTTTGGTTTATAGTTGCTTGTTAATTTTGATTTTTACTTTATTGTAAGTAGTCTTTTTCCTGGTCCCTTATTTAGGTTTTCTAAATTCCTGCTATGCGTGAGACCATCCGGTATTTTTCTTTTTCTTTCTGGCTTATTTCACTGAGCATGATTCCTTCCATCTCCATCCATGTTGCTGCAAATGGCATGAGTTTATCTTTTTTGATTGCTGAATAATATTCCATTGTGTATAAAATAAAATTTTTAAATAAATAAAATAAATAAAAGTTTGAAAACTACTAAGCACCCTTAATGGCCTAACTCATGGGGAGTAACTAGGCGATTCACTTCTTGTGTCTCTCCATGTCTTTAGATAAGTGTAGCAGATGACCTTTAAGGGTCCTTCTTGCTCTGAATAACATACGGTGAAAAGGCTTAAAAACTCTTACATGAGCAGGTAGTTCTGATTCAAAGACCTCGCTGGATACACCGCTATTGGTCCGGCCCCGCCCCTCCGGCCTCGGCCCCGCCCCCCGCCGGCCCCGCCCCTCCGGCCCCGGCCCCGCCCCCGGCCCTCGGGCCCCGGCCCCGCCCCTCTCGCGGCGCTCACCGATCGCGCAGATCTTACGCTCGCCCAGCCAGACCCCGGTGTAGGGCGGCGGCCGCGCGCGGGCGCCCCGCAGGCCCTGAAGCTCGCACAGGCGCACGGCGCACGCCTCCAGCGCGGCCACGTGGGTGCGCAGGCGCAGGCCGAGGCGCCGCAGGTCGAGCACCGGGTGGCAGAGCAGCTGGCCGGGGCCGTGGAAGGTGGCCAGCCCGCCGCGGCCCGTGGTGTGCACCTCGGCGCCCAGGCCGCGCAGCCGCGCCGCCTCCTCGGGCGTGAGGCCGCCGCGCAGGCCGGACGTGTACACGGGCCCCGCGGGCTCGCACACCAGGAGCGCGCCCGCCTCGGCCCCAGCACGGGCGTCGGGGCCGGGCGCGGCCTGCAGCCGCCGCAGCCAGCGCTCCTGCAGCGCCAGCAGCCCGGCGTACCGCACCCGGCCCAGCAGCACCAGCCGGACCGCGGGCTGCCGCATGGCGCCCGCCCCGCCGTCCGCGGCCCCGCCCGCTGCCTGCGCCCGGGGCGTGCCGGGGAGGGCGGGGACTCGGCGGCACGTCCGGAGTCGCTGGACCCAAGTGATCGGTTACTGGCTCGTGGTCCACCGTGACCCCGAGGTCCAGGTCGGGGTGTGTCTTTCCTAGTCCTTCATTTCAACAACTAAAACTTGTGCCAGCCAGTGTTGTGGCTGCCCCAGGGGCTTGACAGCGGTGCACAGGGTGTGGGGGAAAGCTCTGTCCTGGGAAGTCTGTTCTTGAGTAGACGAGTGTTAACTCATTAATTAAATAAGACTATTTCACCTATTGATAATTGCTATGAAAGGACAAACACGAGGAAGAGACAGAGGTAGATGGACGCACTGCTGAAGGCTGTGGGTTGATGAGGGCGCGTAGAGACCGGGGAAGCTACAGCACCTGCAGGAGAAAGATGGAAGCAGGATTAGACAGGGAGAAAATGAACTGCGAAACAATCGCAGCAAAGGCTTCCACCAGAACCCAAAGAATGCCTTGAGCCTGGGATGACCTTTCAGTTATTCCAAAGTAAAGAAAGGAGCTAGGTATTTATAACTTCGCGTTAACCAGTTATAGAGAGGCATTGTGACTGTTAACAAGGCGGCTTCTTTGGGTGGAGGGCAATTTCCAGAGCGGAATGATGAGCCATGAAAATCCAACTCGCAGAAGCTGGAAGTATGAGACTGGCTAGGTCCTGAGAGTGGATCTGGGCCGTGTTGAATTGGAGCGTCATTCAAAGAAATTCATTCAAACGTTTACTGAGTACCAACCACGTGTTAGACCTATCACTAGAAAAAGGAAACACAGGATTGTCCCACCCCGTATTCCTGAATAGCACACAGAACGTAGTTTTTATGTATTCTTTTGTCTGCTGAATCTGTCTTCCATGCTACAGCCAAGGATTGCTCTATTGAAAGAACAAAAGGAAAAAAAAGCAGAAAGGTAGAGGGAATAATGTAACAACTTACTGTTTACCCACCATCCCACTTTGTCAGATTTTAATATTTTATTAATTTTGTTCAGGTCTTTTTTTGATTTTAGAAGCTAGCAACCTTGATCATTCCAATAGGTATCTAAAAGACATTTCATAAATATCGTCATAAAAATTATGTTAGTGTTATGGCAGAATTCCCTTAGAGAACCAGGCTGCACTCAGGAGAAAGGAAGTTCTCTGCGACAGCCGGCACAGAGATCTCTCCAAAGTCTGAGCCCAAGCAGTTAGGTAACAGGGTATTTATTGCCTTAGCAGGGGTACATTTGCACCTTTAAAGCAGGCAGTGAGTAGAGAATTAGGAGATTCCTAAACGGTTGTCTGGGGTACTCCAGTCAGGCATGTCGGCCTTCAGGACGTTTATCAGTTACTCCCTGGAACTTTCAGTCTACATTTAGGCTTTGTCTCAACATAACTTCAGTTCATTAACAGGTCAGCCTGACATTTTATTGTACATTGGGTGTAGGTTTTTTTTTTGTTTTGTTGCCTTGTAAACAACAGAAATTAATTTCTCGCAGTTGGAGAAGTCTAAGATTAGGGGCCAGCAGATTAATGTCTGGTGAGAACGGCTTTCTGGTTTACAGACTTGTCTCTTTGCTGTAACCTCAAAAGGTGAACAGTAGCTGTGGATCTTGCTGAAGTCTCTAATCTAATACACACTAATCTCATTCATGGTGCTCCATCCTCAGGACCTAATCTCCCCTCCCAAATGTCCCATTCCTAATATAAGTGCCTCCCTCTCAGAGATATGTAGAGCATCATATCTATATTAAACTATAACTGCTATTGTTGTTTTCTGCTTTTTAAAAAGATAAACTTACTTTTTAAAGTTTTTTGAAATAGAGGTTTGACATTTAAACATTATATTCTACAGATGTACAGAATAATGATTCAGCATTTATATATTTTGCAATATGAGTTGTAGGCTTTTTGTAGATGCTGTTTATGAAGTTGAGGAAATTCCTCTGTATTACTGTTTTTTTTGTGAGAGATTTTCATCATAAAGTGTGTTAAATCATGTCAAAGACTTTTTTTTAAACAATGATTGATATGATTGTGTGATTTTTCTTCTTTATTAATGTGGTGGATTATATTGATTGCTTTTCGACTGTTGCATAGGTAGAATAAATTCCACCTAGTCATTATATAGAATTCTTTTTACGCATAGTTGCATTTGGTTGCTAATATTTTGTTGCATCTATGTTTATGAGAGATACTGGCTTATAGTTTTCTTTTTGGTGTCTATTGTTTTCTTTTTTTCACTGGTTTTCAAATCAGAAGATTTACTAGCTTCATGAACTGAATTTGGAAGTGTCTGTCCTCTTCTATATGACTGCCTTCACTACAGATGCCAACTGCAATGAGGGTATCCCCCCGCCACCTACATTTCCGACCAACTGCCTGCGTATTCTGGAGTTCCTACAAACACCTCAGGTTCAACAACTCACAGAATTCAGGAAAACAGTATGCTTACAATTATTGTTTTATTATAAAGGGCATAAACCCAGACCAGTTAGAGACACACAGGGTGGGCTCTGGGAAGCTTCATAAGGCAAAGATGTCATGACTTCTCCTCAGGGAATCAAGACATATAACCTTCCAGGCACATTAATGTATTCACCAACCAGGAAACTCTTCTGAATTTTGGTGTCTAAAGTTTTTATTGTGCCTGCATTACATAGGCATTATTGATTGAATCGTTAGCCATGTGACTGCATTCATTTTCCAATCTCCCTTCTCTCCCTGGAGAGCAGCGTTGCTCAAAGTTCTAGCCTTCTAATTACATGGTTGGTGTTTCTGATAACCAGCCTACATCCTGAGTCATCTCATTTCTTAGCAGAAACTCAGATTTATGATCCAAATTGCTCACGATAATAATGACGCTCCTATTCCTTGGGAATTTCCAAGGGTTTAACATCACCTTCCCAGGAATAAGGGACAAAGACTAAATTTTTTTATTCCATGGTAGACATTATTATTGCCTCCATTTTATAGCTAGATACCTACAGCAGTTACTCAGTTACTTGCTGAATTAAATCTTAACCCAATCCACAAAGCTCAGCTCAAAGCCCTCTTCCTCCTCAGTGACTCTGGGGCTCCTTTTCTTAACATGTGGCCTATTACATGCATCATGCCTGATACATTGTGGTTGTTGTGAATTAGGTTAATTGCCCTCCACCTTCCATTTGATATGTGATCCAAGAATACAGATTTAAGCTAACACTTGTTTTGTACTTACCATGTGCTGACCATTCTAAAAGCTTTACCATCATCAGTGCATTTAATATTGAAGCCACCAAGGAAGCAGGGACAATTATTTTCCTCGTTTTACAGATGAAGAAATTGAAACACAGAGTGAGTATTTACTTGTCACTAGGCTACTAGTAAGTGGCTGGGACAGGATTCAAAGCTGGGCAGTTAGGCTCCAGAATCCTTGCACTTAACCAGGATTCTATCTTTTTCTTCTTTAAATTCCCCATAGCCCACATCTCATAGTGTGACACATAGTAAAAATGTTGATGAATAAATAACTGTGAACCTGGGTATCAGAAGGTCATGCAGTCCCACTGAGTCCCATATCTCATAGTGTGGCACATAGTAGATGCTCAGTAAAAATGTTGGTGACTAAATAACTGTGAACCTGGGTATCAGAAGGTCATGCAGTCCCGCTGAGTATCCATCTTCCTGTTGAGCCCCAGCCTTCACTCAACAGAAAGGGTTAGAATTGTTCTACTCATCCACCCTCCCACCCACTCCCTCAGCCACTCATCTATTTGTCCATCCATCTACCCATCTTGCCAATGACTAGTTACTGTCCCAGGCATATTGCCTCACTTTCCAGCAGAAGTTCTTGGGCAGATGGTGGTGCCATTATTGAAATGGGGAAAGCACAGGAAGACTAGATTTGGTGGAGGCAGGACTGAACTGTAGCTGGTGCATGTCAGGACTGCAGTACTGGTTGTGTCTGTTGGGAAAACTGATGCTGCTCTGAATCCCCTTACCCTTCCAGCTGTCTGGGAGGGTGTCCTATCCCCTGGCACCCGCAGATCCTCCCATTCTCTAGCAACTAAAAGGTTAATGCTGGGATGGACCTTGGAATGCTGGCCCCACGCCCTGCAGACCTGCTGGCCACTGTGCCCTAAATTAGGCAAAGAAGCATGTAAGTCAGGGTTCATGTTGGGAAATGTAATGTTAGAGATGATTATAAGCTCTCCAAGTGGAAATATGGATACACATTTAGAGGAGAGGTCTGGCCTCCCCGTTGTTGCCTCCCTATTGTCGACAGGCTGGAATCCAAACTCTTTTAGGTTGGCAGCGCAGGCCTGTCTCATCCAGCCCCCACCTGTCTTTACCCAGTTCCACCTCCTGCCACCTCTCTGCCAGTGGCCCTGCCTTTTGCTGCCTCCTGTTCACTTTGTGTTATAAGCTGTTCCCACTGCTGGAATGACCTACACTGTCTTCTCTCCCTCTTTCTCATTTCTCAGAGCTCAGCTCAAATGTCTCCTCCTCCTGAGGCCTCCTGCTTCATGCTCTGTCTTCCAGGGACCTCTTCTCGGAGAGTCCACCCTGCCTGTATGCTTCTGCTTAGATCCCCACTTCTTAACAAGGCAGTCAGCTCCTCCATGTCAGGATAGGGTCTGGCAGCTCTCTGGCCCTAGCAGAACAAGGTCCCAAATCTAGTAAGTCCTGAGGAATTGATGGTTATAGAGTCCTGACTAGATTTACTGCAGATTAACCTATTTCCTCTTCATCATGCTGAGCCACACATTTAGACAAGCTAGATTGGATATTCTCGAAAGAACAGACTCTTTAGGAGCAAAGACCATTCCTTCCATATCCCTATTCTCCCACAGCTGGAGAGAAAGCACACAAATAAAAATAATGGAGGAGCCTGGGGAGATGGAAATTGAATCTCAGTCTGGAATCCTACAAGCTTAGTATCCTTGGGGAAGTTACATAATCTTCCTGAGCCTCAGATTTCTCAGGTGCAGGAATGGGGTTAACAGTACCTACCACGTAGAGTGGATGTGAGGATTGCATTAAATCATGTACATAAAAATGTTCAGTGGTTCCCAGGGGCTTAGAGGGGAAATGGGAAGTCACTGTTATGGGTACAAAGGTTCAGTTTGGGATGTAAGGGTTTTGCAAATGGCTAGGGCAATGATTGCACAAGAATGTAAATGTGCTTAATGCTACTGAGCTGGAACTTAAATTTAACAAACTTACATTTGGTTGTGTATTTTTCTGCACAATAACTCAAATAAATATCCTGCGTGAATGAAACTGACTCCATTCCCCACAAAAATAAGCGGCAGGTACACCATGGAGGATCCATATGTCTGAATTTCCTTCTTCCTTCCTTCTGGGTTTCTCTTCACCTGAGTTCCAGGGCCATGCCCAAGAGGCAGGATAAGAGAGAGCAGGACAGTGTCAAGAGAGGAAGTGATTATACATTGAACAAGGCTCTGATGGTGATGGGGTCAAAATCAGGATGGCCCACTGAAAGGCCGGGCATGAGTAGGTGGCTGCCTCCCTGCCTGGAAGGAAGAAGGATGTCCGGGGCCAAAGATGACACTAGTATTTTTGGCCATAGGAGAGAAGTGAGCTATCTAAATTAAGGAGAGAAGGTGAATAGGAGTTGCAGGATATCCACATTGGCTTATGTTGCAAAAAATAAATGCTTCTGGAAGTAAGTGCATACGTAAATAAATAGGTACATATTTTTTCAAGATTCCAAATCCATGTTCTTACTCCATTTTACCCAGGCGAGGGCAGCACAATAAGCAGAGAAGGGAAACAAAGAGATTTTAGAATCAGGCTGTTAGAGGGAAATTACAAATGAGGTCTGATGCTATCTTTGTTTCTTTTTCATTTTGAAAAATACCTTGCCTGACCTGGGCACCCTGCCACCATTGGGAGAACCGTGAGAATCCAATTTGTTCCCAAAACACTGCCATGGGGAGGTGAGGTCACAAGGGAACCTTGCTTTTCCCCAAGGCAGCCCTGACCAAAAATAAATAAATGAACAAATGATAAATAATGTCCAGGAAGAAACATTGAAATGGTCTGGTGCTTCCGTGTCCTAACTGGACATCTTAGGGCAAATCATTTTCCCTCTGCACGTTGGTTTCACCTCATTAAACAATTCTATCCCTCACATTCTATGTGTCTAGGATATAAGTTTTTCAAGTCCTTGAAAAGAGCCACCATGAGAATTGACAGAGGAAAGAAGATGCTTCACTAGATGGCAGCACCAAATATCCCTGAGTCAGAAGACAGATCTGCTTGGTCATCCATTCGCTCACTCATGGAGCCATTAAGTGTTACTTTAGCAAACACCTTAGCAAATACCCTTCTCCTGGTCCTATGTAAGTGAAGACCAGAAATGGATCAGATTCAGTTCCTGCCCTCACAGAACTTGCAGTCTATGGGATGGAAGGGAGGGTCTAGGGGTGAGGCAAGAGCTTAAATGAATGATTATGCCACCAGGGGTTGTGGGCTTGGGGGGCTGAATGTGTAGGATCTCAGGGTACAGAGTGGGAAAGATTCGCTCAGCTTGCAGAGCCCAGGAAAGGCTTCCAGAGAAAGAATCCACTCAAAGAACAAGTAGATGGTCATCAGGCAGATCTGTCTTGCTCCAGATCTTAATGAGGAGGTTTTCAGATGGTTTCATTTATATGTGGAATATAGAGAAACTGAACAAAGGGTTAGGAAAAAGACAAAACTCACAAGCTGACCATATATCTGAAACATACATTAGGGGAGGGAGAGTGTGAGGTGTCAAAACAGGATGGACGAGCATAAAGGATGCAATGGTGTTTGGAGAACTACTGGGATCACATCTGAGGGGAGAAATCAAATAATGTCCAAAAAATTAACAACAATATAAGAGAATTAATTAAAAAACATTTTTTTTTACCATAATCATGTTTGTCTTCCAGAGAATGCCACATTCTTCAGTAGAGACAAAATTTTATTTGTCTGGAAAGATGCCATGATCAGCTTTTTTGTATATGAAAGGTGAGTCTTTCTTCCCCACACCTGAATAGGGTATGATATGGAAGGGCACAACAAAACAAAGAGAAAGGACAAGTTGCCCTGCATAGCGAATGAGTTTAGAAATTGTTCATGGATAGCTTGAGAGACAAGAAGGTAAGAAACTAAGGACAGAGGGAGGAGAAATATATGAACTTATAAGAGGGAGCAAGAGGCTACAAAAAGATATAGCCAATGGGAAGATCCTAATAATGGGGATGGCCAATAAATATTTAGGGAAGTAACATTTGACATTCAATTTCTTTCTTGTCTTACTTGCCATACCTCTTCAGTAATTACCTTGTATTCCTGCCACTATAGCAGAAAGAAGGACTGGGGTGGGTTGGGGGTGTCCATATGGTGCAAAGATGGCCACACACCGAGTCCAGCAAGGGCCAAAGGCAATGGTTAGAAGCTGGACACAACTGAGCTGATGCAACAATACTATGCAACCTGACAGGAAGGGAAAACTCCCAACCAAACCCTTAGAGATATTGTGGAGGGCTCTGAATTTCCACAGTATGTAGCATGAAAGATTGACTCATTTTACTTTTTATTCTTTAACATTTACTAAGGAATAATTGACCTACAAATCAAGACACAAACTTAGTTTTTAATTTGATAAGTTTAGCCATATGACATGTATGTGTTTAAAACCATCATAACAAACATAATAATGAACATTTCCAGCACCCCCAAAAGTTTCTGTATGCCCTTTTGTAAGCTTTTCTTCTGATGCTTTCATCCATATCCTGGCAATAATTAATTTGCTTTCTGTCACTGTAGATTAGTTTGAATTTTCAGTAATTGTATAAAGATGGATTCATATAGTATGTATGATTTTTGTATGGTGTATTTTTATGAGATCCATCCATGTTGTAGCCTGCACCAATAAGTCATTCCTTTTCATTGCTGTGTAATATTCCATTGTATGGATATATATATATATATATATATATATCACTGTTTATACATTACCTATTGATAGATTGTGTTCTTTTCTGTTTCAGACTATTACAAATAAAACTTCTGTGAATATTTGTATATTTGTATACAAGTATGTATGGGCATATACTTTTCCTTCTTTTTTTTTTAAGATTTTATTTCTTTTGGATGAAGGATGGTTGGATCATGTGTAAATATATGTTTAAATTATTAAGAAAATGCTAGAATGTTTTCCAAATTCATTGTTCATTATTATATTCCTACCCACTATGTATGAGAATTGCAGGTATTCCACATCTCCTCCAATATTTGGTATGGTCAATCTTTTAATTTTAATGATTCTAATAGGTATCAAATGGTATCTCATTAAGGGCTTACTTTATATTTCACTAATGACTTATATTGAATATCTTGCTTTTTTTTTTTTTTTGCTATCTATAGTACTTAGAGTTCTCCAGAGAAACAGAACCAAATTCAATGTGTGTGTGTGTGTTTGTACACTCATATATATATATCCATATATATATATTCTGCTAGAATACATATATGTATACACATATATATATATTCTCTATTATAGGGAATTGGCTTACATAAAAGACAACCAGTCTGTGGTATTTTGTTATGGCAGCCAGAACAGAATAAAACACCATCTATATATTTCCTCTGGTGAAGTGTATGTTCAAAATTTTTGCCTATTTTAAAAAATTGAGGTCATTCTTTTCTCATTATTAAATTTAAGAGTTCTTTATATATTCTGGTCTTCCACCAGGACTACATGATGGGTGGGAAGGAGGAGGCAGGAAAAGGAGGTAAGCAAGCAAAACAATACAGGCATGATAAATGCTGTGACAAAAGGAACAGCAAGGGATTGTGAAAAATGCAAAGGGGGGCATCTAATACAGTTGCAATAGTCATAACATGGCTTCTTTCAAAACAGGTGATTCCTGAACTGAGTCTTAAAAGTTATGGGAAGTTAAGTACTAGTAAAGACTGAAGGCTGAAGAGATCATGGGGTTCAAAGTGCAAAGATTTGTTGTTTTTATTTTTTCCGGCATTGAATAAACATTTACCAGCACCACTGGCCCCAGGCTATTGAGACCTACAGCTAACTGTAATATTTTTTCCTAATGTTCTCTCATGAAGTATTTCTGTTATAAAAATTTTTCTTACAGATTCGGTTTTTAGCCATGACTTCTTTTTCTCTTAAAGATTCATTCATTAACTCACTTCACAAATCTACCAACATAGTGCCATATTGTGCTGGGTACTGGGGCTGTAACACCAAAAGGCCAAGGCACCTGCTGTCAAATAATCCCACAAGTCTAGTGCCTGTGCCCTTGTTGCTATCTGGACTTTGCAGAGTATTTTACCAGGAAGTAGACTAGACAGATTGCTATCAGGAAAAAGATGAATGTGTTTGATTGTGTGTGTGTGTGTTTATAGTCCATTAACATTGGAGTCATAGCTGGCTCTGGTGTACCTTTCTTCTGGCTCCCAGAGTTGATTATAATAGGGGTTGGCAAACTTTCCCAAGTACTCTACCAAGTCCATGTATAACCAAACCCTATTCAAATTTTTTTTTCCCTGCAGTGGTTTGTTTAGATTGTCTTTACTATCAACAATTATTTATCAAAGTACAAAGCATATGAAAGTATGCTAAAACGACTAAGGCACGGTTGCTGCCCTTGAGGGGTGTCAAGACACATCAGAAGTATATAAGGAAATGTAAAAACAAACATTAGTAAGAATACTACTTAGAGAATATGAATAGAAGGGACTATTTGATGCCTCTATTCTGTTTGCTGTGTTTTTATTTTCTTGATGATGTCCTTTGAGGCACAGAAGTTTTGATTTTGGTTAGGTCTGGTGTATCTACTTTTTCTCTTGTTGCTTTAGCTTTTCATGACATTTAAGAAATTTACATATTGTTTTAGACAAAGAGATGTTAAAGTAACAAAGGAGAAGAAACATGCATTTGTATCATCTTTTTAATTACTTTTACCTGTGCTCTTTGCTTTTTCATGTAGATTTGATTTATCATCTGGGATGACTTGCTTTCAAGCTGAAGAACTTCTAACATTTCTTGCAAAGTGGGTCTAATAGCAAAAAATCCTCTCAGTAGCTGTTTATCTAGGAATGTCTTTATTTTACCTTCATTTTTGAAAGATAGTTTTGCTGGATGTAAGTTCCTGGTTGACAGTTTTTGACTTTCAGCACTTTGAATGTCATGCCATTGCCTTCTGACTTACATTATTTCCTACAAGGAGTCAAATGTTAATGTTGCTGGGATTCTCTTGTATATGATTGTTGTTTGCTCTTGCTGCTTTCAATTTTATCTCTTTGTTTTTGTCTTTGAGCATGTTCTCCATTAATATGTCTTGGTGTAGATTTCTTAGTATTTCATGCCAAATGAGAACAACTTGGCCACTATTTCCACATTCTCACTCAGGATGATGTCTTGCTCCTGTGCCATGGCCAGGTCCATCGATGTGTTGCATGCTTCCCACAAAGCAGACGGCAACAGAAAGGGCTCCCCCACAGCAGTTCCTCACACTCATTGCAAAAGTAATGACATAGCATGCCATCCAGTGCTTTACAACTATCTATTAGTTTTATTGTTTTTGTCTCCTTTGCTGTGTGTGTAACCAATTCGTTGAACATGCTGAATTCATACTGTTGTGAACAGGAAACCTTACTTGTTCCTGCTGGTTTCTCTAAAATTCACATTACAGAATAAATTTTCCCTTGCCACTAAATTAAATATTGGGCAGATCTCAAAGGTTTTTTGGTTTTGTTGTTGTTGTTTTCTGCTCTCCAGTAATGAAACTTCTGGAATTCCCTTTAAGTATTGTAAAGAAGACAGAGTCAGAAAAATATTCTCTTGCCTAGCAGAAAGCAAACATCCATGTTATAAATTACAGAGATAGGGTACACAGAACTTCAGCTGCCATAACAAAATACCACAGAGTAACTTAAACAACAAAAATTTATTTTCTCACAGATTTGGCATCTGGAAATTCAAGGTCAGAGGGTCAACATGCTTAATTTCTGGTGAGAGTTCTCATCGTGATTTGCAAAAGGGCATTTTCTCTCTGTGTGCTCACAGGGCCTTTCCTTGATGTGCATATATGGGGAAAAAAAGAGAGCGTTCATTCTGTTGTCTCTTCTTATAAGGACACTAATCCTGTTAGGTCAAGGTCCCACTCTTATCATCTCTCAACCTTTTTTTCAACCACTCTCCCCAAAACCCCATGTCTTGCTACCATCTACATTGGGAGGATAGGGTGTCAACATATGAATTTGGTCAGGGAGGGGACACGCACATTCAGTCCATAACTAGGGGCCGCTTGGCATATAGAGACCAA